TCAGACGTGTGCTCTTCCGATCTATTAGTTTGGTGACTGTATATACAGGGTGTCTATAAAGTCTCACCCAGGCCTGATAGTTTGGAAACGGCTTTAGATATAGAAAAATGTTTCAAACAAAAGTTGTTTGACTTCAAGGGGAACATCAAATGGTACCATTGGTTTGACCTTGGGTGGCCCTGTCAAGATCAGGGAAAGGTCACTTAAAATTTTTAAAATAAAACCTCCCATTTTTTATTGCATATTCTTGTAGCTTATCTCGAGAGCTTTCTAAAACATATAGATAAAATGTTTTTTGGTTAAGTAAATCTCGAGTTATAAAGCTTGAAAGTTGGAGTACCGGCATTGAATAATGCCAATGCCGACGGTATCGCAAATTTTACGCTTTATAACTCGAGATTTACTTAACCAAAAAACATTTTATCTATGTGTTTTGGAAAGTTCTCGAAATAAGCTACAAGAATATGCAATAAAAAATGGGGGATTTTATTTAAAAAATTTGAAGTGATCTTTTCCTGATCTTGACAGCGCCACCCAAGGTCAAACCAATGGTACCATTTTATGTTCCCCTTGAAGTCAAACAACTTTTGTTTGAAACATTTTTCTCTCAAACTTCAACAAATTTCCAAATAAGAAAAAAGAAAAAATAATAAAAAAATAAATATACAGAGTGTCCCATTTTATATTTGACTGTCAAATATAAAATGGGATACTCTGTATATTTATTTTTTTATTATCTTTTCTTTTTTGAAGCATTTATTTGCTATTGTGTTACAGAAAAACAATCGTCACAGGGGAAGGAAAGGGAACTGCAGGTGAGGCTAGAAAAATTAATGCCCAAGGAAATAATATTGCTAACACAAAAGAAATTACCAGAGAAAATGACTATCAAATCTCAAAGAAATGGAGACTTTATTATTGACGGGCCTTCAACGAGTACCGCACGACATTCTTCATCCGATCTTGTTTCAGTGGACAGCAAACATTCTGAAAAAGCTATTTGTATAACTGACAGTCAGATCACCAAGGCCAGCGATAAGAAAGAAAATTCTCCGCCTTGTAGTCCTTGGACGAATTCGAAGAACGTCGCAAAATTTAAAATGAATACGAAAACATTGTTTGCATGCCCACATTGCGGTGTTCCTTTTAGTTCCAAACACTGTGTCGCTCATCATGTTAATAAGACTTGTTTATCGAATCCATATTCGAGAACCAACAGAGAAGCTGGCAGGCACCAGTGCCAACAATGCGGTCGCAATTACGGTAAAGAAAAAAGTTTAAGACATCATCAGAAGCACGAGTGCAACCAGAGGGTAACGTGCGAGAAATGTGGTTCGACTTTTCAAGGAACAATTGTTCCGGTACGCCATAGGAAGAAGTGTGGGATCGATCAAAATTCATCCAAAATTGAAAAAATGATGAAGAAAGAAAACACACGCGATGAACCCTTTGAAGACGACTCGAGCATTGATTTCTCAGATTAAATATGGAATGCTCTTTGTTGTAATGCTGTTGTAATTATCGCGCTTATGTTATATTTGCAAGTAATTGTGATTTACATTATATAATCTACCATATGTATATTAATATATTTATACATATAAATATATAAAAGGTGTATTTTTTAATATTATATTGAAAATAATTAAATATATAAATATATTAACTCTTTGCAAGCAAATACCAAGTTATTTTCTGTTGGAATTTACTCAGATATCGAGATTTTTTATGAGAAAAATTACGAACTTTTATTTTAATAGAAAATTACAAACTAAACAGTTTAATGCACGCAAGACAAAAGGTAAAATTTACTTAGCAACATAACAGAACAAAAAGAAATCGCTTTCAACTTTAGCGCCTTTAATTCCTTTGCTCTGACGCTCCATCTATATAAAATATAGACTCACTAGATTATATTACCAACATTTTAAATTCGAATTAATATGTAATATGCAAAATCTGTCAATCATTTGAAGGTTTAGCGGTACTGAGCATGCGCATAGCCGTAGCCAATAAAAACCAGGCGGAGTCTCCCCCTGCATTTCGGCTTCACTCCCATCGCCTATTGTAAGTTACCACTGAAATATAATAATATGGTTACCACTTTGTTCTGTTCTCTTAAGGCCGAGACACAAACTTTTGCATAACTCTGCATAACACACAAGACATAAGGCATAAGAAAATCAACCAATCAGAGTATAAAATGAAGGACTCTGATTGGTTGATTCTCTTATGCTTTACGTTTTATGCGTTATGTAGCGTTATGCAAAAGTC